CCATCTTTCCTTCCTTGCCCTACTTATTTTTGTAAAAGAACAACAAAACTACAACTAGTCAAAGTTGTAGTGGTTTACAACTCCCTATTGCTTCACCATATATTTAGCTTGCCAAGAGACTGCATGGGAATGAGGTTAGGGAAGGAGATTTTACTTTCTATTTGTAACAGGCTTTTATTTGCATCTTTTATTAATCCCACATGGTGGGTAATTAGGATAGTAGTATATGGTTCAGTGATTTGTCTGTGATCCCACAAATACAGCCTAGATAAGAACCCAGTTGTGCAAACTCCTACTTGACAAAATTATTTTCACTCTTCATTAAGTTTGCACAGGGAAGTAATGGAATAAGTTCTGTCCTTTAATTCTTGAGTAGTTGGGTACTGTAGTGTGGCACATTGAGAAGTCCTCTATTTTATATAAAACCTGGGTTCTGAGCTTAATCTTTCATCTAACTTGGTTGATACTCTTCTGTTTTTCATGATGATTCTCATTTGTGAGGTGCATTAATTGAATTAGATTATCTCCAATTTTTCTTCCCACTTAAAAAAAATCAATTTTATTAAAAAAATTCACAGATCCTGTATCTCAGATCAAAGTACATTTTATGCTCTATTCAATATGTGGTTTGTAAATTAGTATATTCAGTTAAGTAAATTCCTTTCTTGACTAGCCATCAATTTATTTTTAATTCCTGAATTCATTAATTTAACTACTGTTCAAATTATTAAATTGAGTTTTTCTTTAGCAACTATAAAAAACTCAAGTTACATTTCAGGTTTTGGTGTGAAGTTGGAAAGCACTTAGGCTCTGAGGAAAACATTTTCTTTTCCCAAATTCTCGCAAACAATGATTTTATCATTTTTTTAATTTATCATTTAAAAATTTTATTTAAAAGTGACGAAAATACTTTAAAGTAAACATTCAGCAAACTTACAGTATTTTCTCTCTGCTAAGTATTGCGTTAAACATTGGTAAAACAAATCTCTATAGTCATGAACTTGCTCTCCAAGATTTTGTAATCTAGAAGCAGAGTGGTAAATACATAGTTAAAATACTACAGAGGAGGTATGAAGGTAGGATTTCAGGAAGTTATCATAGAGTAGGTAGGTCTGGAAGATAAAAGTTGAGCCAAGCAGAGGCAGAGATATGTCAAAAGCATGGACAAAGAAAATGACACAGTAAATTAGAGATGATAAAACTTTAGTATGTGGAGAGGATATGAGTATTTGGGAGAATAGTAAATAAATTTGGGGCCAGACCTTGAAGAATGTGGGGATCCTATCAAAGATTTTTTTTTTTTAGAGGTTTTTGCTATAGGGTGCGTGCACTCTCCAGAGAGACAGAGAGGGGGGAAAGGCCACGTCGCAATCCCTTCTCCTCCATTCTCCTCATGGGATCTTGGGCACGTACGCACAAGCGCCTGGCATGAGTTTAAGCCACCAGGTCCGGGACTCGAACCGCAGTTAACTACGTGGGAGTCCAGCGACATAGCCATTACGCTAACTACTGGTCCCAATTGTTTTTTTTTTAATTGTCAGAGGTACTTCTGTACTCTCTCGGAGTACAGAAGAATGATCAGAGGCATTTTTTTTGGTGTGATAACAGGGGGATAGGAAGAAGTGGTAGACTGTAAGAAGGGAAGATCGGTAGATGAAAACAAATAAGACTTTGCAGTCATTTTTGGTAAACATTAAGCAACTAATGTGTATTTTGTAGGCACAGAGATTACAGCAATAAAGATAAAGATCTTTGGTGTAATGGAGCCTACATTTTAGGAGAGAAAAAATAAATACACATGAAAAAGGAATATGTTAAATGGTGATATAGCAGAAGGAAAGACGAGGAGTCCTATAGATGGGGGAGCATTTCTATTTTATTTATTTACTTATTTTAAAAGTTGTTATTTATTTCTTCTAGGAGCAAGAGACACAGAAAAAGAGACAGGATCCCAGCAGGGTCTTGATGTCATCATCTACCGTTAGCTTCAGCCACATGCCTTTGTGAGCACATGCTTTGTGTATTCAGGGAGGTCTCTAGACATAAACTCAGAACCTTTCAATGTGGGTTGGCCTCCTAGACATGATTTACCCATGTGCCACTTTCTATCCCTGTTATTTCTATTTTATTTTAAATTTTTTTTAGAGATTTTTGGTATAGGGCACATGTGCTCGCCAGAAAGACAGAGAGAGATAGAGAGATAGAAGGTGAGAAATCACCCCCGGGGGGATGGCCACACCGCAATCCCTTCTCCTCAATTCTCTCCTCGGGATCTTGGGCACACATGCACACATGCCCAGCATGAGTTTAAGCACCGGGTCCGGGACTCTAACTGTGGTTGACTACATGGGAATTCAGCCATATAGCCATTATGCTAACTGCTGGTCCCTGTTATTTTTATTTTAGATAAAGTGGGGTTTAAGCCACCAGGTCCGGGACTCGAACCGCAGTTAACTACGTGGGAGTCCAGCGACATAGCCATTACGCTAACTACTGGTCCCAATTGTTTTTTTTTTAATTGTCAGAGGTACTTCTGTACTCTCTCGGAGTACAGAAGAATGATCAGAGGCATTTTTTTTGGTGTGATAACAGGGGGATAGGAAGAAGTGGTAGACTGTAAGAAGGGAAGATCGGTAGATGAAAACAAATAAGACTTTGCAGTCATTTTTGGTAAACATTAAGCAACTAATGTGTATTTTGTAGGCACAGAGATTACAGCAATAAAGATAAAGATCTTTGGTGTAATGGAGCCTACATTTTAGGAGAGAAAAAATAAATACACATGAAAAAGGAATATGTTAAATGGTGATATAGCAGAAGGAAAGACGAGGAGTCCTATAGATGGGGGAGCATTTCTATTTTATTTATTTACTTATTTTAAAAGTTGTTATTTATTTCTTCTAGGAGCAAGAGACACAGAAAAAGAGACAGGATCCCAGCAGGGTCTTGATGTCATCATCTACCGTTAGCTTCAGCCACATGCCTTTGTGAGCACATGCTTTGTGTATTCAGGGAGGTCTCTAGACATAAACTCAGAACCTTTCAATGTGGGTTGGCCTCCTAGACATGATTTACCCATGTGCCACTTTCTATCCCTGTTATTTCTATTTTATTTTAAATTTTTTTTAGAGATTTTTGGTATAGGGCACATGTGCTCGCCAGAAAGACAGAGAGAGATAGAGAGATAGAAGGTGAGAAATCACCCCCAGGGGGATGGCCACACCGCAATCCCTTCTCCTCAATTCTCTCCTCGGGATCTTGGGCACACATGCACACATGCCCAGCATGAGTTTAAGCACCGGGTCCGGGACTCTAACTGTGGTTGACTACATGGGAATTCAGCCATATAGCCATTATGCTAACTGCTGGTCCCTGTTATTTTTATTTTAGATAAAGTGTTTAGGGAAGCACTTACTGAAAAAGTAACATTTGAGCCAAATCCTGAAATAAGAGCAATTCAGGCCTGGGATATTTTGGGAAAGAGCATTCTATTGGGTTGTCAGGAAAGTTTGACACATTTTTGCATAGAAAAATATGTCATGACTTTCCTGATGACAAATAAAAGGAATGGGAGGGGGAAAAAAGCTTAGAGCCAGGCATGAGCCTAGTGTAATTAGTGGAAAATAAAGAGATCAGTGTGGTTAGAGAAAAGGGGCAAGGGGAGAGTAGTAAGAGATGAAGTTAGCAGGGTAATGGGTGGTTTGTATACGGCCTTGTAAGCTATTGCTAATAACCTTGAATTTATCTTTGAGTGATATGGAAGCCACTGGAGGATTTGAGCAGAGGTGGGACAAGATCATGCTATAATAAGAGTGGTAAAATGAATCTGCTATAGTAATCTAGATGACAGGTGATGATAGGCAAGGAGAGTGGAAATGGTTGGATTTTGGTTATGGTTTGGTCGGAGGAAGAACAAGTAGGATTTGCTTCTGGATAGATGTGGTATATGAGGAAAAAATAAAATAAAGCTATTGTAAAAGTTTAGAAATTAGATGATGAGAATGTGATCAAAAGTATGGGCAATGAGGAACTGGACAAAAAGGTTAAATAAAGGAGATATTTCTTAGAGTTAAAAGAATTGGAGATAAATATCTAGAAGGTTTTATTTTTTTAAAGTATTACTATTATTTAAAAAAAAATTTTTTTTGAGAGGTTTTTGCTATAGGGCGCGTGCGCTCGCCAGACAGACAGAGAGAGACAGAGAGATAGAAAGCGAGAAATCACCCCCTGGGGGGATGGCCACACCGCAATCCCGTCTCCTCCGTTCTCCTCTTGGGATCTTGGGCACGCATGCACACGCACCCGGTGTGAGTTTCAAGCCACCGGGTCCGGGACGCGAACCGTGGTCGACCACATGGG